CCATTTTGTTGCTTGCCCTGGTCAAGGTCATAACAAAGAAAAAATGATGGATATTTATATGGTCAGTGCATAATTTCCAATCTTTAATTGGAAAGGACAGCCTGGACAGAGATACGGTTAATGGCGGGATCATTAAGAGCATCTCCAACAGCTTCCCCAAAAATTTCTTCAAAATGGGGAAGCAAAATGGGGAAGCAAAAGTCATATTCTCCAAATTATTTTTGCTCCAACTCCAACAGCTTCTCCATTTTAAAGAATACTGCATTTATTACAATAATAAAAACATTCACCATCTTTGACTAATAAATAATAAATTATTTTTTATTTGAAACTTTGAAATAATGGTTAGTTTCCAACGGCTAGATTTCATATTGATGATCCAAATCATTGATTTAATTAAGTCATCATAACGAGGTGTCTAGGCAAAAAAATCTAGAACATATTCATGTGTATCTTATTGGGAAGTAAAGTATTTACAAATTCAAAATGAAGAAAGACAGAAAATCACATAGATTGCTAATGCAACAATGTAAAAGCTCAAGACTTTGTGTTCTACTTTTATTGTGATATATAAAAAAGCATCCTTGGGAAGATAAAGCAAACATACATCACATAGATGCATATTTACTGCTAGAAGAAACTTACAAAATTCACACGTATCTTCTTCAAGGAAGTGGCCTGGACACAATATAATGGGCAAAATATTTTAAAAAACACTTTTCAAATGAGGAAGAACAATTTTGTCAGGTAAATAAACATGTTGATATGAGGGAGGTCACTTAGATGATTATAATCAATCCATTCATATAATACTCTCTGTTCTATCCACAAATACAATATATAAAGGTGATTCAAATGGACTAGTTCTATATGATATCAACAAGAAACTGGACACTGATAGTAATACTCACGAGCAATGATACAAATGAGAAGGAGGCATACAGTAAATTACAGTTTATCGTTAATTTGAAAATCTCAGCAAATATCACAAAATATAGAGTGGAAAGGGAACAAATAACAGATGTACATACAGGAGTTGATACAACAACAATATCAAAGCCTTTATCTTAAATTTGTGGAATGGGACATACGCGTGCACAAGTATATTAATATAGAGGATGTAATATGGTTGTAAATGTTAGAATTAAGGGTCAGTTTGACAACTCAAAATTTTCACTTGTAGATGATGCCAAGTAGATGAATGGTTGCAAAAACCTATATAGGAAAATCAAGTCATGCTCTAGTACGGTGAGTGAGTGAAAATAAGGGTGTAGCATATAACTTGTTAAAGAAAAATTGGGCATTCATTGCACATGAAGTTTTTGATCCATTAAAATACATGAGTGGTTGGACCTAAATTGTGCTAGGATTTTTATTCTCAAAACTCAATAAGTTTACCAAAACAGTAATGAGAAAAAAGGTTTATACATTGATTTGAACTAGGCAGGGAAAATAAAATGAGGATAGCCAAAGAACTACAAGAAATAACATCAATTACTTGTAAACTTCACCATGGAAAATGTTAGAGAATGCTATCTATTCAACAATCTACTAACAAACATAATATATTCTAACTACTCCATCCAATCTCTTTATTTAACAGAATGTGAAAATCTATTGCCTCCATTTTATTTAACAGAATGTGACTAGAAATAATTACTCAAGCAAAGAAGAAACTATTTGAAAATATGCTTGGCTAATTCTCTCAGATATTATTGAGAAGGAGGCATACAGTAAATTGCAGTTTATCGTTAATTTGAAAGTCTCAGCAAATATCACAAAATATAGAGTGGAAAGGGAACAAATAACAGATGTACATACAGGAGTTGATACAACAACAATATCAAAGCCTTTATCTTAAATTTGTGGAATGGGACATACGCGTGCACAAGTATATTAATATAGAGGATGTAATATGGTTGTAAATGTTAGAATTAAGGGTCAGTTTGACAACTCAAAATTTTCACTTGTAGATGATGCCAAGTAGATGAATGGTTGCAAAAACCTATATAGGAAAATCAAGTCATGCTCTAGTACGGTGAGTGAGTGAAAATAAGGGTGTAGCATATAACTTGTTAAAGAAAAATTGGGCATTCATTGCACATGAAGTTTTTGATCCATTAAAATACATGAGTGGTTGGACCTAAATTGTGCTAGGATTTTTATTCTCAAAACTCAATAAGTTTACCAAAACAGTAATGAGAAAAAAGGTTTATACATTGATTTGAACTAGGCAGGGAAAATAAAATGAGGATAGCCAAAGAACTACAAGAAATAACATCAATTACCTGTAAACTTCACCATGGAAAATGTTAGAGAATGCTATCTATTCAACAATCTACTAACAAACATAATATATTCTAACTACTCCATCCAATCTCTTTATTTAACAGAATGTGAAAATCTATTGCCTCCATTTTATTTAACAGAATGTGACTAGAAATAATTACTCAAGCAAAGAAGAAACTATTTGAAAATATGCTTGGCTAATTCTCTCAGATATTATTGATAACAAGATCCAACTATTTGTCATTGTGTCAACCTATTAACCTGATGCATATTAATGTTCATGTCTATGCCTTATCTAATGTGTTTGTGTCATGCTCAACAAGATATTATTGTACTAAGCAAATTATCATCCAGATATTAAACTCCTCCAATGTCATCGATAATGATTTTCACATTTTAGTGTTCCAGCTAACTTTTCTCTTGAAATTGGATTCTTCATTGCATTCAACAAACTGGTTTAAACTAAAGATAGTAACCAAAGCAAAGAAAACAAATCCCTATGCTTCTACTTCAACTTTCTTTTTAAGAGTGTAACCAGTGAAATTTCAACAAGATGTATGTACACATGTTTCTCAATAATAAAGTCTAGTTTAGATAATAACCCCAAAAAAACAATAGATCAATTCATATCTAAAAAAGGGAGTTGTTTCATTTTGTGGGTCCTGTTTGATCAATCTCCTATCAAAAAGGGAGGTTTTATTTTGATCTCTTTGAACTTTGAAAAATAAGTGAAGGCATCATGTTTATTTATCAAATTAAAGAGTTCTGAGCAGCTGGAAGAGATTTCCTCACTTCAAAAATCATTTATTTTATTCGGGTTCTTTTCCGAACATCTTGGAAGAAAAAGAATCGCAAAAGAAAGACAAGAAAATCCCAAAAATTGAAAGAATACAGGATGAAAAAATCCCAAAATTGATAGAAGGCAAGATCAAAAAGCCCTAGTTAAGAGTGTACCTCAAAATCCAGTGATCAAGAGGAACTGGGCTCGATCGGAGTTTCTTATTCTTTGATTTCCTTCTTTTTTAGCCAATCAAACAACCATCCAACAACTTTTCTTAAAAAATCACTCACATCATCCAATAATATTGTGACAACTCATCTCATCTCATCTCCTATTATTTGATTTCCTTCTTTTTTTAGCCAACCAAACAACCATAAAACAATTATTTAAGGAAATAGGTTTCTTATTCCTTAATTTCCTTCTTTTTTTTGGCAAACAAACAGCCCCTGAGATGACTTGGATTATGGGTAGTTCGCTCTTCTTCTTCTTCTTCTTCTTATTATTTGGGCTTTTTGTCTTTAGGTCCAATAGTTTACCTCCCTTTATTTTTAAACCCAAGTAGTATTAGTTGTATCTCTAAGTCCAAATTTCTTTTTGTATTTGTCTTTAAACCCAAATCCAAAATACAATACTTTCAGCAGTGGGTCCCCCCATATATTTTTCTTAAATTCCGGTTATACCCTCCCACTTATAGAATTCATTTAAGTGGGTCCCCCTTAAATAAAATAAACGAAATGGAGAGAGAGGGGGGAAACTGGCGGTAAATTTCCCCCCTCCATTCTCTCTCCGTCCTCTCTCTGTCCCCCTCTTCTTCTCCCTTTCTCTCACTCCATTAATAGAACTCAACACTCTCTCCTATAACACATCATTTAATCACTCTCTCCTACAACCCATCAATTAATTCTCACCAACTTTCTGGGCATTTGAAGGTAGAAATTTGCAATTTACTCAACTACCAAGTTGTTAGCATTAATTTCTCATTTTAACCATGACAATTATTTGATAAGTTAGTTAAATGAGTTCATAAAAAAATTTTAATTCGTTATTTTTAGTAAAATGTTAGATAACTGAGGTTTTGTAATTAACCACCCATTAATTTCACATTAGTTATTTCACATAATTATTTTGCACTTCTTATTTCACATTATTATTTCACATAATTAGTTATTTCACATAATGTTATTTCACATAATTATTTTTAGTAAAATGTTATTGTTATGAATTCATAACAATTAGTTAAATATTAGTTAAATTTGTTATAATTGATGAAATTTTTGTTAAATTTGATCTTAGTATAGAATGATAACATGTAAGTATAGCATGAATTACCAGACTTATAAGTATAGCATATTAATATAAGTAGAGCATGTTATACTGTAAGTATAGCACATTAATACTGTAAGTATAGCACATTATACTGTAAGTATAGCACATTAACCTGTAAGTATAACATGTTATATTGTAAGTATAGCACGTTATCATGTAAGTATAGCATGTTATATTGTAAGTATAACACGTTATCATGAAAGTATAACACGTTATCATGTAAGTATAGCACATTAACCTGTAAGTATAACATGTTATATTGTAAGTATAGCACGTTATCATGTAAGTATAGCATGTTATATTGTAAGTATAACACGTTATCATGAAAGTATAACACGTTATCATCTAAGTATAGCACGTTAACCTATAAGTATAACATGTTATTCAGTAAGTATAGCACGTTAACTTGTAAGTATAGCACGTTAGTTAGTAAGTATAACACGTTAACATGTAAGTATAACACATTATTCAGTAAGCATAGCACATTATCATGTAAGTATAGTACGTTATCCTATAAGTATAGCACGTTATTCAGGAAGTATAGCATGTTATCCTATAAGTATAGCACGCTATCAGGAAGTATAGCACGCAAAAGAAGCTTAAAATGGAATTTGGTTTGGACATCCCTTATCATAGAATTTGGTGGGGAAAAGAGCTAGCTCAACGTGAGTTGTATGGTGATACTAAATTTTCATATGACCAACTCCGATGGTATAAGGATAAAGTTATAGAAACTAATCCGGGATCAATTGTTCACCTAGAGCATGAGGATGGAAGATTTACACGAGTATTTGTGTCTTATTATGCTTGTTGGAAAGGGTTTATGGAGGGATGTAGACCAATATTGTTCTTGGATGGTACACATCTTTTTGATAGGTATGGTAGAGTTCAATCTAATCAAAAGTTGCATTAATGTACTACTTCATATATTTTATACTTTGTTTCATAATTGTTCTTTTCTTTTATAGGTATAAAGGAACCTTACTTGCCGCAACTGCTCTAAATGGAGATGGTGGTATGTTTCCCGTAGCAATTTGCATATGCGGGACGGAAAATGAGAGTAATTGGGAATGGTTTTTGGAATGCATTCGGGACATCCTCTTCAATGATGAAGATCCATATACTCCAGATGATGAACTGGTGTTAATCTCTGATAGGGACAAAGGACTTCAGAATTCCGTGAAGAAATGCTTTCCATGGTCACATCACTCTTATTGTATTCGTCATCTCTTGGCTAATTTTAAGAATAACTTATCGAAAAAAGGCATTACACCACCTTTACGAGATGAATGTGTGCAAATTATGAAGAGGGCCGCTTATGCATACACTTCTCGTTCCTATAACAATGAATGTAACGAGCTACGGCATAAATCAGAGATCGCCTATTGTGAAATGTTGAGGATGAGTCCAGAAAATTGGGCTAATTGTTATTTTCCTGGGAAGAGGTAAAATTTTATTTTTTTTTTTAAATTTTAAATGCAAACCTTCAAGATATATGTACCTGCTATACTTACTATTTATTGACATGCATGTAGATATGGATGGTTGACATCAAACGTAGCGGAGTCATTCAATGCTTGGATCAAAGAAGCTCGTTATTTGCCAATTACCCAAACAATTGATAACATTCGCAAGAAAATGATGAGGATGAGTTTTGAAAGGCGGGAGGCATCCCACAAGTGGACCACAACATTTGTTCCCACTGTGGAAGAGCACCTTATTCAGATTAATGAGCAATCACGTTGTCTTTCTGCAATTCCTTCTACTACCGGAAGGTACGAGGTGTATGATTTGCCCACCGTTGAAGTAGATTTGAATGAACGCACATGCACTTGTCATGAATGGCAAGTAGTCGGGCTACCTTGCAAACATGCGGCGACGGTTATTCGGCAGAATATGGACACCCTTTACTCCTATATTTCCCACTACTTTAGTGTGGAGACATACCGTAAATGCTACTCCTTTCCGATATACCCAATTCCTGATGATGACAAGCCATATATAGATGACGAAAATATGGTGATTCGGCAGAATATGGACACCCTTTACTCCTATATTTCCCACTACTTTAGTGTGGAGACATACCGTAAATGCTACTCCTTTCCGATATCCCCAATTCCTGATGATGACAAGCCATATATAGATGACGAAAATATGGTGATTCGGCCACCGAAAACTTCAATTCTTCGTGGAAGACCAAGGACGAAGCGCATTCCTTCGGGATTGAATCCGGGCAAAGAGTTAAGATGTAGTAGATGTCAACAATATGGGCACAACCGTAGAACATGTAGACAGCCTATTGCAGACTAGATATGGTCTACACAATACTTTTGGTTAGAAGATATGTTGTACTTTTGGATAGATATGCTATACTTTTGGATAGATATGCTATACTTTTGGATAGAAGATACGCTATACTTTTGGACAGAAAACATGCTATACTTTTGACGTGTAAGACAAGATATACTTTTGGATGTAAGACATGCTACACTTTTGGATGAATGAAAGACATGTTATACTTTTGTCATAATTTTGTATGTATTCTATGTGTTTGTAATCAATGGAAGACATGTTATACTTTTCCATATAACGTGCTATACTTACGATTAACATGTTGTACTCTCAGGTTAATGTGCTATACCTACAGGTTAACATGCTATACTTACAGGTTAACGAGCTATACTTACAGGTTAACGTGCTATACTTACTGGTTAACGTGCTATACTTACAGGTTAACGTGCTATACTTACTGGTTAACGTGCTATACTTACAGGTTAACGTGCTATACTTATGATGTAACGTGCTATACTTACAAGTTAACGTGCTATACTTACTGGTTAACGTGCTATATTTACTGGTTAACGTGCTATACTTACAGGTTAACGTGCTATACTTACTGGTTAACGTGCTATACTTACTGGTTAACGTGCTATACTTACAGGTTAACGTGCTATACTTACGACATAACATGCTATACTTACAGGTTAACGTGCTATACTTACGACATAACGTGCTATACTTACTAGTTAACATGCTATACTTACAGGTTAACGTGCTATACTTACGATGTAACGTGCTATACTTACAGTTTAACGTGCTATACTTACAGGTTAACGTGCTATACTTACAAGTTAACGTGCTATACTTACGACATAACGTGCTATACTTACGATGTAACGTGCTATACTTACGACATAACGTGCTATACTTATGACGTAACGTGCTATACTTACGATGACATAACGTGCTATACTTACGATGTAACGTGCTATACTTACAATATAACGTGCTATACTTACAGGTTAACGTGCTATACTTATTGGTTAACGTGCTATACTTACAGGTTAACGTGCTATACTTACTGGTTAACGTGCTATACTTACTGGTTAACGTGCTATACTTACTGGTTAACATGCTATACTTACAGGTTAACATGCTATACTTATAGGTTAACGTGCTATGCTTACGATGTAACGTGCTATACTTACAGGTTAACGTGCTATACTTATAGGTTAACGTGCTATACTTACGATGTAACGTGCTATACTTACTGGTTAACGTGCTATACTTACTGGTTAACGTGCTATACTTACAGGTTAACGTGCTATACTTACAGGTTAACGTGCTATACTTACTGGTTAACGTGCTATACTTACAGGACTTGGCATTTCTATCAATATATTCAACATTCCCAGCACATACAACATACAACATTGCATTGCCACAGAACATACATACAACATACCATATTTCACGTGCTATACTTACTGGTTAACGTGCTATACTTACAGTCTCAACGTGCTATACTTACAGGTTAACGTGCTATACTTACTGGTTAACGTGCTATACTTACTGGTTAACGTGCTATACTTACTGGTTAACATGCTATACTTACAGGTTAACGTGTTATACTTACGATGTAACGTGCTATACTTAAAACGTAACGTGCTATACTTACAGGTTAACGTGCTATACTTACTGGTTAACGTGCTATACTTACTGGTTAATGTGCTATACTTAAAACGTAACGTGCTATACTTACAGGTTAACGTGCTATACTTACTGGTTAACGTGCTATACTTACTGGTTAACGTGCTATACTTACAGGTTAACGTGCTATACTTACAGGTTAACGTGCTATACTTACAGGTTAACGTGCTATACTTACGATGTAACGTGCTATACTTACAGGTTAACGTGCTATACTTACAGGTTAACGTGCTATACTTACTGGTTAACGTGCTATACTTACAGGACTTGGCATTTCTATCAATATATTCAACATTCCAACGTGCTATACTTACAGGTTAACGTGCTATACTTACGACATAACGTGCTATACTTACAGGTTAACGTGCTATACTTACGACATAACGTGCTATACTTACTAGTTAACGTGCTATACTTACAGGTTAACGTGCTATACTTACGATGTAACGTGCTATACTTACAGTTTAACGTGCTATACTTACGATGACATAACGTGCTATACTTACGATGTAACGTGCTATACTTAAAATGTAACGTGCTATACTTACAGGTTAACGTGCTATACTTATAAGTTAACGTGCTATACTTACGACATAACGTGCTATACTTACGACATAACGTGCTATACTTACGACGTAACGTGCTATACTTACGATGACATAACGTGCTATACTTACGATGTAACGTGCTATACTTACAAGTTAACGTGCTATACTTACAGGTTAACGTGCTATACTTACTGGTTAACGTGCTATACTTACAGGTTAACGTGCTATACTTACAAGTTAACGTGCTATACTTACGACATAACGTGCTATACTTACGACGTAACGTGCTATACTTACGATGACATAACGTGCTATACTTACGATGTAACGTGCTATACTTACAGTTTAACGTGCTATACTTACAGGTTAACGTGCTATACTTACGATGTAACGTGCTATACTTACAGTTTAACGTGCTATACTTACAGGTTAACGTGCTATACTTACGATGTAACGTGCTATACTTACAGTTTAACGTGCTATACTTACAGGTTAACGTGCTATACTTACGATGTAACGTGCTATACTTACAGGTTAACGTGCTATACTTACGATGTAACGTGCTATACTTACAGGTTAACGTGCTATACTTACAGGTTAACGTGCTATACTTACTGGTTAACGTGCTATACTTACTGGTTAACGTGCTATACTTACTGGTTAACGTGCTATACTTACTGGTTAACGTGCTATACTTACTGGTTAACGTGCTATACTTACGATGTAACGTGCTATACTTATAGGTTAACGTGCTATACTTACTGGTTAACGTGCTATACTTACGATGTAACGTGCTATACTTACAGTTTAACGTGCTATACTTACAGGTTAACGTGCTATACTTTCATATTAACGTGCTATACTTACATGTTAACGTGCTATACTTACAGGTTAACGTGCTATACTTACTGGTTAACGTGCTATACTTACTGGTTAACGTGCTATACTTACTGGTTAACGTGCTATACTTACTGGTTAACGTGCTATACTTACGATGTAACGTGCTATACTTACAGTTTAACGTGCTATACTTACAGGTTAACGTGCTATACTTACGATGTAACGTGCTATACTTACGATGTAACGTGCTATACTTACAGGTTAACGTGCTATACTTACTGGTTAACGTGCTATACTTAAAACGTAACGTGCTATACTTACAGGTTAACGTGCTATACTTACTGGTTAACGTGCTATACTTACTGGTTAACGTGCTATACTTACAGGACTTGGCATTTCTATCAATATATTCAACATTCCCAGCACATACAGCATAGAACATTGTATTGCCACAGAACATACATACAACATACCATATTTCCAGCGCATACAACATTTCCAGACTATCTACACGTGCTATACTTACTGGTTAAGGTGCTATACTTACAGGTTAACGTGCTATACTTACTGGTTAACGTGCTATACTTACAGGTTAACGTGCTATACTTACGACATAACGTGCTATACTTACAGGTTAACGTGCTATACTTACGACATAACGTGCTATACTTACTAGTTAACGTGCTATACTTAAAGGTTAACGTGCTATACTTACGATGTAACGTGCTATACTTACAGTTTAACGTGCTATACTTACAGGTTAACGTGCTATACTTACAAGTTAACGTGCTATACTTACGACATAACGTGCTATACTTACAGGTTAACGTGCTATACTTACGACATAACGTGCTATACTTACAGGTTAACGTGCTATACTTACAGGTTAACGTGCTATACTTACAGGTTAACGTGCTATACTTACAGGTTAACGTGCTATACTTACAGGTTAACGTGCTATACTTACAGGTTAACGTGCTATACTTACAGGTTAACGTGCTATACTTACTGGTTAACGTGCTATACTTACAGGTTAACGTGCTATACTTACTGGTTAACGTGCTATACTTACAGGTTAACGTGCTATACTTACAGGTTAACGTGCTATACTTACTGGTTAACGTGCTATACTTACAGGTTAACGTGCTATACTTACTGGTTAACGTGCTATACTTACAGGACTTGGCATTTCTATCAATATATTCAACATTCCCAGCACATACAACATACAACATTGCATTGCCACAGAACATACATACAACATACCATATTTCCAGCGCATACAACATTTCCAGACTATCTACATACACCATACAACATTAACCTGTCACAGAACTTGGCATTTCTATCAATATATTCAACATTTCCAGCACATACAACATACAACATTGCATTGCCACAGAACATACATACAACATACCATATTTCCAGCACATACAACATTTCCAGACAATCTACATACACCATACAACATTGCATTGCCACAGAACTTGGCATTTCTATCAATATACATTTATACAAATACGTCACAAATCAATTTCCAAAATATATTTGTACACAAAAAATATTGGATATCACAATTGGCAATGTAGCATCCTGACAAGAACAATACAACACACTGAGTATAAGTGGATCAAAAGAACAAATATGGCATGTAGCATTCTTGAGGGTCATGATGGTTGATTTCCTGAAAGCAACATGTAAGTGGATCAAAAGAACAATACAATGAATATAGCGTTTGAATGAACATTAAACGTATAAAAAATGTACCTTCAGATAGAATTAGAGCAACAATGCGAGCTCTATGTCTTGCACAATCCTTCTGGTGAATTGAAACTGGTTGACCGGAAACGAGGCTAAACATGTACGCCATCAAGAACACCCCGCAATCCATACTACTGCAAGTTTAAATGTTTGCAACATCAATATAAC